TTCCATTCAGAGTCGTAGCGTCATTTTGAATGCATTTGTAGCCTATCCAGTGGCTTGAAGTTGATGCACCTTTACCTACATAGCTCTTCCGAAATTCGCTAATACCCGAAAAAGTCGGGTCACCTTTGAGATGGCTGGAGCTTCGGGCAAGTCAGCAGAGCACATACGAGCTGAAGGGTACCCTGCTCCCCAGGGATGAAACATGCACCGAAGTGGGTGGTGCACTGGAAAACTTCGAAATTTTGTCTTAGCAAAGCTCGGTCACCACGAAAAATAGGCATAGGTCAGGAACGAACTAACAAAACTGATTCGACGAGTGGCACTCAACCACGGTTAGCTCCGCGTTCTTGATCTTCTCGCATAAACTCGTAACTCACCCTATAGTCAGGTCTGTGAGGGTTGGGGCTAAGATTAAATGATTCATCTCTGTTTGACGAGTTCTTTGCTGTGACGCACGCGTTACCGTAGGGAGCCCTACTGGTGTTCAATAAAACAAGCGAGAGTAGATTTACGCTCTTTCCGTGAAACAGAGGCACGTTCATACTGATGATGGTCGCTGAACTATAAAAATCCGCCCTCTATTCCAGCTCCAGCCGCAACATATCAGTCGGTGAGATTATGAATGTTTTCATCAATTCAAGCTACGATAGGCGGATTCGTCCACCAAACCGCGACAGCAGAGGTTAGATGAAATATAAATTTTCAGTGGCAGTATTATTGTAATCATTCTTAAGGAGTCAATGGTCCCGTTATAGTGAAAGTCAATGCTTATATACGGAGGTATGTAACTTATACTTTGAAGACAGACTTTTGGAATGTCAAAATCAATTATGGAATACTTTGTTTGCTACCTGTTAGGCTATTCTGCAATAAACTAATGAGACATATTCTGTTAGAAAACTTGTCTACCACAACCGCATAAGAAGAGTGGAAGAGGGAGATGCAAATCAATCTTCCCTTTAGCAACATATAACCTGAAGAATGAATGATACGTTGATAGCTAATGATTCGAAATCTAACCAAAAAGTTGCAGTAGTCATGCAGAACACGAAGGATTTAGCCTTGAACTGTTTTTACACTCAGATTGCTACATGTTAATCACTTGAAACAACTACGAGAGTTGAGTTGAACTTAGATAGTCCAATCATTGTATATCGACAAAAAATTTTCGATTTTGGGTTAACTATGGCTAACAGTAAGCTTCCTGATCATAAAGGACCAGTCCTTCTTATTTCGAAGAGGAAACAAGAAAATCGACCCTTGTACATTATTTTCTTCCTACTGAATTTCTCCTACTGATTTCCTACCTTACCGTCCCGAGAATTTTCAACCACATGCCCACAAGCCTCAGTTCGATCGCTAGTAGCATTGTGAAATGTTCGTGGTACAAGGTAGTGTATAATGATGAAACTCATGCGCTATTTTCACTCCTGGTGACTATAAGTTCGTCCTAGTGAGACATTCTACAGTTGCAGGGAAGCAGCATTTGAAAGGTATGCCGTATGTGAAGAACGTGTTGGTATCACACAAATATATGTATGGGTTGTTCCATCAATGTTGAGTTCCTCATATGCACCTGTTTGAGAGCGATTTCTTTGCTTGAAGTGGAACACAGTCATGCATTCCACGTGCACTACCATTCGGTCTTAAATAAGCTATGACACGCGCGACAGTAGCCAAAAGAAGGTGGAAACCCAATGAATGTCAGAAAATTTCGTATAATGATATGACAGAACGAAAAAAACCGTCTACGAAAGTCGCCATGGGGACGTTACTCATAGCCGTATCCTCTACGGTTTGCAGAATAGTTTGCTTGGGACTCTTCCTGACTGTTTATTTTCCTTGACAACGATCAGTTCATATGGACAACTCTGTTAAACCCTATGCCATCATTGCATTGCTAGGACGGTGGGGGAGTGTGTAAAGCCCACGTAATTTACATTTCAGCGCTGTCTTTTAAAGACAGTAATGAAAGAAATCCTGTAAGTCATCGTTGACGTCAGTCACACAGTAGGCGCCATGTTTCACAGCAAATCAACCCTTCGTACGCAATGGCTTCCAGGCTGTCGCTTATTAATGTCAGAGAGAGCCGAAATCATGGAGCTAAGTGAATATCGAAATTGATCATCATATGCAGCCGTTATGCAAAAGTGAGGTCTCTCGTGACGGGTTCCTATTCAACATGAGCAGCCCCACTGTTCGCAAAAAAATCCTTCATATGATCTATGAACTTTGAAATTAGAAGGAGAGGGCCTGCTTCTAAGCCGGCTTCTTGCATCACAGAAGGGGGGGGGGGGGGGGTTTGCNTTAGAGCTCTTCGCGCACGCAGCATTGTTTCAGTACCTTTCTGTTGAGATCGACCAACATTCACGCGTGACCCCATTAGAGCTCTTCGCGCACGCAGCATTGTTTCAGTACCTTTCTGTTGAGATGGACCAAATAAATTTGCAGTAGTCCACGGCTTCACCATGAATTAGCAAATCTCTTTACTATGGCAATGAAGCCCCATCGGGATTAAGAATTCACCTCATAGGTCAACAATTTACTTGTCAAACGTTTAAAATAAGAATAACTTCGCATTTTTTGACTCTAGAAAACGCAATCCTCCTGTAAACGTGCACAGTTGGTCATTTTTTCTACTAATTTTACTGATAAGTTCTTATTTCTTCCGCTATGATGGTAGGCATGATGTTTTAGCGCGTTTTGTCCGATGACCTCATTATATTGACGCGTGAATCGCACCACACCCAAGGAAAGCTAAGAGAAAAAATAAAGCGCGGGACTGAAGGCTGTCGAGAATGATGAAATAGATAACTCTTTAGTATATCGAACATTGATTTTGTACGAATGCAGTACAACCTACAAGTGACGTTCCGACAACTCTGGCAAGATTCTCGCCTGGCATATCAGAGCAGTTTTCCCAATGACAAGGTTCCTAAATTCATTATCATCACAGAAAAAGACCTCATCTGGACACCGGATACTTTTTTTCTGGTACGTAGTTCAACTTCATTACTTTCCATTGAGAGGGAAAAGTTCTTGGGGTATTTCAGAACGAAAAGCAGGCACACCGCCATGAAATCGACAAACTCAACTTGCTCCTTCGGATTTACGCAAATGGCAGCGTGATGTATTCAGAGCGGCTATCACTCACACTTTCCTGCCCGATGTATCTGCACGTGAGTTTCGAGTTTGGCAGTGTGGACATCGTAATACCGAACTCACTTAGTAGCCCCCTTCTGACCTTTTCGAACAAGTAAGGCATAATACTACTCACCATCAGTATATCATGGAAAACATTATATAAAAAATAAATGAACCTTTTAGGTATGTGAATTCGGCATAGATTCAAAAACCTTGTAGAAGTAGGAATTTTGAGAAAGAGCCTCAATCCAATCCACAGACTCCGAATTGAACTTCTCCAGTACACTCCATAAATCTTCTTACTCACTTGCTTGCAGAAATTCTAAGTGAGCGAGTGTACCAAATGTTCCATAGAATTTCTCCTGAAATCTAGAGATCACTCTGACCTCCTCGTCGAATAGGCAAAATGATTTGGACTGTGGTCAGATGACTACAAAGGATAAAGTTTTTGGCGTTAATCACCCGTCTGAGGGATGCGCCTCCGCATTCGACTTCCATTCAGAATCGTAGTGGCGGATTTGAATGCGTATGTGGCCTATACAATGACTTGCGGTGGCCAGCCGATGCACAAGTGAGCGCTTTTATCCTCACAGACAAGCCGGCACCAATTTACCGAACTCGGAGGAGGCCTAGGCGGATAACGATCTGGGATTCGAACCCATGACTATGCGTTTGAGATAGTGCGCCACTTGCCACTTCATGCATACGAGGAGATGGTCATACAGCGCCGGAAGGTGGTGGGAACTTTGGCAAAGCGGAAACCCCAACCCAAAACATAACTTTTCCAAATTTTGAATGCAGCACTTTATACATAGAGCTGGACGAGCTCAGTCGACCTACACACCTTCTATAAAAAAGGGAAAGCTAACGCTAGGCATAAGGGAAAAACGAAAACAACGCGAATTAGCGATTTTTCTCTTTTTTCTGATCATCTAGGGTGGGTTTTGTGCAGATAGAGCGTTTCCAGCGAGTGTCTTGTGGAAGAGCGCACCACGATTTACAGCAAGTCTAAATTTTGGTCCGCTCACACTAAATATAGTCGACCCTTTTGAAATTATATAACTTCAATTGCAAGGCTTCATCTATGGAGTGACCTCTTANGGGGAATCCGTTCATGATGCTAGAAAAATTCCTTAATGGTTGCTTTTCTTGAAAGTGCAAAATTTGAGGGTGATCTTATAATTATGAAACGCACTGTATAACAAAAGTAAAGCTTAGAGAAAAAAGTCAAGAGCGGGTTTGAAGGCTGTCGAGAATGATGAAACAAATGACTCTTTAGTATATCGAACATTGATTTTGTACGAATGCAGTACAACCT